CATCTGGCTGCGAAACAGTTAAAGAAAATAATCTCCCTCTAAACATTTATGCACAGTACCTCCTGATAGGCCTCTTTGGATTTCAGAGCTGCAGCCATCTGCTCCTGTGTGTATGGGTAAATGACCGAGCGGTACTGTGTGCCAACATCATTTCCTTGCCGCATACCTGCACATCAAAAAGGAGAAGGTTGATACATTTACAGACCTCGATAGACAGTTCATATAATAAGTCTTACACAAATCTTTTCCAGTTCACGAGAAATGCTCAGTAGATGGAAAGCATCAGCAAAGAGCTAGGCGTGCCTGTTGTTGAGTGTACTTGATTAAATCTGTACTGCTAATTATAAAAAAATAAATGGGAAACACGGTTCTTAGTGCTCACCACCACAGAATGCAAATTTAGGATGCTTAGAGAAATCTGTGACAACGTAAAGGAAATTCCTCTTTCAACAAGATCTTGGTTGGGGGTGGGGTACAGTGGTCAAACAATCATTCTTCTACCAGAACTAATGAACAGTGACAAAACTGCATTCTCAGTAATCATACATTGAAAATCCTACGTTGATTTATTTTTTCTTTTGCAAGTTATTAATTTTGAACTAAAAGCATAATTCACCTACCTTACTGTTCATGAAGAGGAGAATTTGGGGCCTGAAAGTATATTTTGAATCATTACATTATCTTTTAAGAGGTTACACAGAGAACTAACTTCAAGGCAGTAATTCCAAAAGTGTCAAATTTGAATTATTTGCATCATCCCCCAAGAGTATTCAAGGTTTAGCTTGTCTTGAGGAATGCCAAATATGTTGGTACTCTTTTAAAGCTATTAGCTTTAAAGCTGGAGAATACATGTCCCCACCATGTGTGTGTTTCGGTGGGAATCATGTTGTAGATTGGGTGGGTAGCCCACCACTTTATAACCTATCTCTGAGCTCACCCCAATAAGATTTGGGGTGCAGGCAGACACCAAATTTAGTACCACACCCAACATGTGTAAATAATTAATATTTATTATTCTGCTATACCATGACACAGTTGGGGTGGGCAGGTTGGTGGGAGTAAGCAGCCTGTTGTTTGAAGCTTTTAAATTGACAAGTCAGAAAGGGAATCAGTATCTTTGGAAGGCCCTCTTTGCGCATTGAGGGAGGTGACCCCCTGCACCGATAAGAAAGTACCCCCTTCTCTTCTATCCACCTGGTCTCCAAAAGCCACCTACTCACATCCAATATCCCTCTCCCTAAGTTGGACAACCACTGCTTACTCAAAGAATTCCACACCCTCGACCACAACATACCTGAATCCATCCTGCCTCTTCCCCGGGCCTCCTGCCTCAGTCTCCCTCCTGGGTCTCTATCCTGGGCCTGCTTCCTGCAAGTCTCTCCTGGGCTTGCTTCATGGACCTTCATCCTGTCGTATCAGTAGCCACTATGGAGTTCTGGTTCTGTCTGGACTGTTACAGCTGCTGGTCAATCTGACTAGCCAGCAGTTTGAGAGGGTGGGATTTTCTGCCAATCGTAATGGAAGTCCCCTCATACATCAATGTAGCCCGTCTGCAATGCCTTATGACTGATGGCAAGCCTCTTCGCCATCTAATGGAGGCCACTGACTTTTCCTCCGACAGATATGTGGACCTGGTCCTTCACCCCTCAGACCCCTGTAAATTCTTGTCAATTGGTTGAGGAAACAGTTTTACTGTACAATTGCACAACAAGTGTCAGTCACACATTGGTATCTGCTCCAACTAATGTGATCAGTTGCATTTTTGAGTCAAGATCTAGCCCAAGTTTGTTTGGCATATTTATTTTAGCCCATATTCACTCTTGCCAAATTCTCAGTCCTCATGTTAATGAAGTGTTAACGTGGTGTTTGGCTCTTTGCCAAAATTAAGCAGATGAATACATTCCTAGACAGGATCGCAAGCTGACAGAGTTTCCTTTGCATGGATTGCATCAGCTTACAGCAGTAGAAAGCTGGAGTAATGTGATAAAGCCTCTTGTTTTACCAGATATCAATCTTGGTAAATTCACTTTCACTTAAGTTATGTGAACAGAATCCAATTGATTTCACGGTGATGATACAACCTGCCAGGAACAGGCTGGCAGGCAACAGGTGTAAAATTGGGTGGGTTGCTGGGGGCCATCAACTAACTGTCACTTAAGATCCTTAACTCACCACAATTATACCCAGTAAACCCTGGCATGAGCCAATGGAGACATCCTCAATGGAAATGACTGGCCCCACTTACTACCTACTCCCCACCAATATCACAACCACCCTGGCTCATTCCTTTTGCAGACATTTACTTGACTGGCCAGGAAAAGATGACCTCATTTACCTTGTACTCTGGCTACTCCTATCCCTCTCCTTGGGGAATACCTGTCATCTCATTCCTTTATTCATAAATGGGTTGAGGGCGTCACTGGCTAGGCCAGTATTTACTGCCCATCCCTAATTGCTCAGGGGGCAGTTCAGAGTCAACCACATTGCTGTGGGTCAGGAGTCACATGTAGGCCAGACCAGGTAAGGATGGCAGTTTCCTTCCCTGACGGACATTATTGAATCAGGTGGGTTTTTCCAACAATCAACAATAGATACATGGTCATCATTAGATTCTTAATTCCAGATATTTTATTGAATTCAAATTCCACCATCTGCCGTGGCGGGATTTGAACCCAGGTCCAGAATATTATCTGGGTCTCTGGATTGACAGTCTAGCGATAATACCACTAGGCCATCACCTCCCCATTGACTCATTGTGGCATTGCTGGAGCTGCTGCCATTTGATTGTCTGGCAGTTTTTGCATCCTCCCTCACTGATTACTGCAAAATAACAATCGTGGCTTCTGGGCCAATGGAGGCCGGCTCACCTCTAACACTTCAGCCAGTGGGCCACTGCTTCCTTGAAATATCTGGCCAGTGTAATGTAATCATGACCAGCATCTATAGTATTTTACTTCTGTGTGAATATAACCATTCATTCCCTAAATATTCACTTTTCCAACAAGGGTGATAAAGCAATCTGAGGCTGTGGTCTTCTACCGGTCTGCTCAATCAAGATTTTAGCACTCAATCAAGGAGGATGAGAGTAAAGCAATAATCAGGCAAATTCACATACTATCAGCTGTCAAGTGTAAACAGTGGTATAATTGGAAGTGCAAAATTAAAGAAATAACACTATTGAAATTATTATTCATTTACACTCAAAGTTTTTCACTGAAATTTGTTTTTAATACACTTAGAACTTGAATTATCGGGAGGTTTGTCAATGCAAGTGACAGAATTCTACACTATTCCGTGCAATGCTTTGATGTGCCGTGCATTTCACTGTAATAAAGTGTAGCCTTTGCCAACCATGAATTAAACTCTAGTCTATAAAATACTGCGCAGCAAACTGATTGGAAAGGTGCATGTGAATGCTAATTGCAAGGGACCAGTACACAAGAGCAGCATCAACAACGTCTCTCCTCTGTTTAAGATAAGCAAGGAACATGGAATTAACATGGAATAATAACAGGAATAAGGAATGTCAGTTATGTGAAGAAACTGGAAAAGTTGAGATTTTTCTTCTCAGAGCAGAGGAAGTTAAGATGAAACCTCACAGAGGTGCTCAAAATCATGTGGGGTTGTATGAATGCACAAAGGACAAAAAACAAGAAAAGTCCATCCAGCTTGTCCAACAAAATTTGAAGAGTAAGGCAACAAGAGGAAACAGATTTAACATACTAAACAAAAGAAGAAAAAGGGAGAGTTGAAGATTTTTTCAATGCGATGAGCTGTTATGATCTGGAATGTATTTCCCGAAATCCTGGTGGATGAATATGGCAGCTTTTAAAAGAGAGTGGAATTAATACTTGTAAAAGGTAGCAACAAAAAAACCTGCAGCTCAATAAGAGGAACAAGCAGGAGAACGTAAAGTATATCAGTATATTGCTTCCAATGCACTTATTTTTAAAAGCAATCTGGTATCATGTCATTTTTACAGTAAAAATAAAATTAAGTCTAAGTGTTTCAGTTACAGATTCTTGACATTTAAGTTCATAAAACACATGAACGGAGCAAACAGTCTTCACTTGACAGATTATAGACTATATACGAACAGACTATAGACAAAGAAAGTAACGAAGGATTAATGACATGTTATATTTAAAATTTACCAGCAGCTCCATTGCCAGTTTTGATCTCACTGGTAAAATGGTGACAGCAAACAAAAATCTTCCTTGTATATAAGCTGTTTCTTTCTGACTAATTAGGCAACTGCACACAGCTAATGGTGGTGATATAATCTTAGAAACAGAAGTGGCAAAAGCTAGGCTAAGAAGAATTTATGATAGAAAATCTGAGCCATAACACCACTGCATTGTCAGACCATAAAGCAGACCTTCTGACCAATACTTATCAGGGACTGAGAACAGTAGATGCAAATTTTATGCATAATTTAATAAAGGACCCAAAAGTAACTTACCCTTAATTTTCTACAATTTTCATGCACAGAATAACACAATCCACACTATAGTGGTAATCCTCTGATGTTAACTCAAAATGTACCAAATATAATTATTCTTAAAAATATCATATACTTGCAGTATATGGTAATTTGGGATGCAATGCATCAATGGAAGCAGCCTCAATTGGGTTTGACAAAGTGCAGAAACTGACCTTCCAAAGAATAAAGACTTTACATATAAATTATGTATATACTCAAATTTACAGCACAAACAGGCCATTCAGTCCAGTAGGTTCATTCCAGCATTTCTGCTCCACATGAGCGTCTTCACACTCCTCTTCACCTTACTTTGCCAGTATATCCTTCAATTATTTTTTCCCTCATGAATTTATTCAGCTTCCTCTGAACTTTATGTAAGCTATATGCCTCAACTACCTCCTGTGGTAATAAGGCCCACATGGGAGAAGGATTGATTTGTGCTGAGACTGAATAGTGTCTTCTTTAGCTTCTGATACCAAGTCCAACTCAGATTAATGAAGTGGAAGTCTCTTTGCTCTGCAAAATTGAATTACTTGGACTGACTCAACTCAGTTCCTGCAGACAACAACAAATGTTTTACAAATGAAAGTAAGTTATTCAGAAGAGTATGGGGTAGAATGATAGCAGGCGTGCAAAGTGGAGAGATTCACATGGTTGTTGCAGAAGTAAATCTTTGTATCACATTTAAAGGAACCTCATTTGACATGTTTCCTTGTCTGTAAATAACCAATGAATTCTCAAAGCTGACAGAATGCCAAAAGCTTGAGAAAAATGCTATATTCAGCACAAGCCTTTCAATTTGACAGGTCAAAAATTCAACTCATGAATATATAAATGGAAAAGTATGCTTGCAGGACAAAAACATCCTAACATTAAAAATGCAGGATTTTCTGGACTCTGGATTGCTAATTTTAACTTCCAGAACTCCCATTGTTGTCCTAATTCTTTCCTATTTGTTCATGGGGTATACGTGTCACAGGCTGGGCCAGCATTTATTGTCATCCCAAGTTGCTCTTAAGAAGGTGGTAGTGAGCTGCCTTCTTGAATCATAAATAGTTTAAGCCAATACAACTGGACCAATTACAATCCAGAGAATATCTAAAGGGGCAACTGACTCTCAGTGCGTTTTTCCCCATCAGCACAGATTTGGAAACTGTAACAAAAGTGAAACCAGCCTCTATTTGCAGCCCATCACATTTCAAAACAGTTAAATTTTCTCTTAAACAAGCTACCATGGAAACGTCTTGATATGAAACTCAAGAATGGATGATATGCCGAAGTCAACCTGTAATATCTGAGTCAATTCCTGAAGAATGTGATACTGTGTCTGGAGCTATATTACACTTTACAACTTAGTGGGAAACCCTCACGGACTAGGAGCAGTTGCTTTCAAACTCCGATATGCGCTTCATTAAATTAAACGTAAAATTCCTGATTTAGGTTTTAAAGTCAGACAAAAGAGAAAGGCCAACTCTGACAACAATTAATTGTTCACAACATTTATTTTCTATATTTGTTGTCTTCCTGTTAAGCTTGTCACTGGTCTACTGGTTACACAAAATACCCAGATTCCAGTGGTTTTGTTCTGTAACAATTCTTAGGATATATACATCCTGGTAGTTAACAGGTAAGGGAAAATAGAGTGGATTCAAGAGTTAAAGTTAAAGGAGGTCTGTGGGCTAAGATTGAGATAGGTGGAGTGGAGTTGGTATGGAGGTTCGATGTACTTTTGTTAAAAACTGTGAGGCAGGAATGATTTCACAGCTTCAGTCCGGTCCTGGCCAGAGATTCACCCCCCTGGGTTGAAGTATGTTTCTCTACTGCTTCTGGATCTTATTCTGATCCAGCATGGTCACAGTACTTTTCTGCCCTAAGTTGATTCTGAAAATTTCCCATGGAATATCTCCATCAGTAAGGTCTCTTTAAAACCTATTCTTTGGGCAAGGTTCTAGTCATCTGCCTAAATGCTTCACATGGCTCAGTGTCAAATTTCTGTTTGATAACACTCCTCTGGAACACCTTTGGATGCTACATAAGGTGCTACGTAAATACAATTGTTGATGTTGTCACTGTTATCCTTTGGACATGACTCTGGTCATCTGCCCTAATGCTTCACAAAGTTCACTGCCAAATTCTGTTTGATAACACTCCTTTGTTATTGTTGATGTTGTCACTGGTGCCACCTGAAAAAAAATCAGGATGCTGCTCGAACAGAGCCTGTTACATAGGAAATGAAGGTCATAGTGAAGTAACAGTTGAAAGCAGTGTTGCTCATTGCTTGATTCTAGGCTAGGTCGGTGGCTACTTCCAGTGATGTAATTCGGTGACAGATTCCTTTGTGAAGTAAGGCACTTCACATGTTGGTATTCAGTGGAGGTCAATTTGAAGATGTGTTCTCTAAGGATGGTCAATGTGCCTTGTATACCGTGCTCTCCTGCTCCCTCGTCTCCTCCCTGCTGCTGTGTCCTGTCTTCTTGGTTGTTACCACCCTGGACCTTCAGCAGCTCTACACACTCCCCAAGACTGCAGCCATAAGCAGCCAAAAAAATTGCAACACCGGCTAACAACTGTCATTAGAAATCAGAATATGGTTGTCGTGATCAGAAAATAAGCTCAAAAAAGTCCACAAATTAACCAACAACACAAAAGGACACACCAGTAATTAATCCTTGGATCTCCTGAATAGTGTAAATTAGTCCAAAGATGTGCAGGCTAGGCGGATTGGCCATTCTAAATTGCCCGTAGTCTTCAGGGATGTGTATATTAGGTGGGTTATAGGGGGATGGGTCTGGGTGGGATGCACTGAGGGTCAGTGTGGACTTGTTGGGCTGAAGGGCCTGTTTCCACACTGTAGGGATACTATGATCTATGATCTTTCTGCCTGTCAGGGCCATAAGTGACTGCTCATGTTTATCATGTACGTGATAGGGAGAGATGTTTTAAAAGAACGCTAAGAACAAAGTGGTCTATAATTTGATACATTTCCATTAGTGTACCTTTTAATACTTCAGTTTTTCAGTATCATTTTTTACTCTAATACAAGTATGACAACTGTAAAAGAAATCTAAAATTCAGCTGATAAAATACTGCAACCCCGCTCTTTACTAACAGTTACATACCCGTCATTTACTCTACAGTATCAACCCACTGGGGTCACAAGAACTTTATGATATAAGGGACTATTAGTAAATGTGAAGGTTATTCGGACTTGATTTATGGCCTGTAGATGCTGTCAAAAGCAGGTACGGACTCTCATTAACAAAAAAAAGCCAACTTTTTACGTAACACATCATTCTACTGAAGTTGGTTCGGTGAAATAAACAGTACTGCAGAGCTGTACGCAAACAGTGCCAATTATTCCCCTTGAACTGAGGAGATAGAATCTCTCCAAAGCAATCTTAACCCTCACAGTTGAGCAGTCACAGTATTTTTTCTGGTTCAATTGGTTCAATGTTTTAAAAAAGACCCTGCCTGTCCATTTTTTTCACGTTGTTTGGGCCACATGTGGTTTCAAGGTTCATTTAAACATGTTACTGAAACACTAATTACCACAGCAGCAATTAGGAATATAATGAGGAGCTGGTCTATTCATTACAGTACCTTGTGTTGGGTCATGGCTCTCCCAGAAGACCTTGAGCAGTTTTTCAAAGCAGATTTTGTCTGGATGGTACACAACTCTCACTACTTCTGCGTGGCCAGTCATCCCTACAGAATGACAATACAATGCAAATTCAGGAGGCTACTGATAAATCTATGTCTGCTGCTTGTTATTTTCATTGCAAACGCAAAGTTCAGACTAAAACACAGCAGATGAGTATTCATTCACACACCATAATGGTTTTGTGAAATTAAAGTTTGCCATTTTTGGTTAAACCAAAGCAGTTTGTAATGCTTTTAAGTTCATAAAAGTAATTATTTTATGGACCAAGGTAAACATATAAATTACCCATAAGCAATTCAGCAAAGCTGTTCAATGTAAATAATTAAATTCAGTTATTTTTAAGCATAATTTTGTTTAAATTAAACAGAAAAATGTGAAAATGATTCCATGATAATTTTCAGTATTCTCACAACTGTTCATGCTTAGTATTTGTACCTGTATATGACAGGATAACAGAGGAGAACAAGATAAGCCATTGTTTGCTTACTATTTATTTCTCATAGAAACACTCCCATTCTCAGTGGATTAAGATAATTAGGCTAAGAGACAGAGCTAGTTTGTTTTTGAAAGGGTGAGAACAGAATCAAATAAAGAGATCAAAAGTTTGGCATTTCAATAGTAGTTTTAGTTGATCAGGTTTCAAAGACATCAATAGTATTTTTTTATTCCTTCAGAAATCAAATCTAAATTTGAATTTTGCAATGTAAAACAAAATCCTGTTAAAATCCAACTCCACAACATTCCGAACAATGCATTAATTTATGTAAAGATTAAGATTGAACTGCATCTCCCAAAGAGCGGTAATCCAGTTTACAAATCAGACCTGTGGTAGTCATGTATAAAACTGTTCCATCCATTGGCCACTTCATTCTATCCCCTTGTTCAAATCTTGGATCTTAAATGAGAATAGTTCATTTACAAACATTATGTTTTAACCCAATACCTCTGCAATGGTGCAGAGTGGGTAAGGAAACAGGTGCAAAGTTGATAATATTGATTCAGGATGTTGGAAAGTGTTGCAGAATTCTAAAATTACAAATGGGATTTTGTAACAGTTTCCAACATCCTGAATCAATATCACCTAAATCCAAGCCAACTTCAAACTGCTTATCAGGAGGCAGGCGATTTTACTAACAGCTAATGTTCCAATAAGTGCTTTACACCTTTTACATGATTCGTTTTAATTTGAAACAAATTTAAAGTCAGAGCTACAGTGCAAAAGGCACTTTCCATTCACATTAAAACAGTTTTGACAAAAGGTGCCATTTAGTTGTATTCACAACAATTTCATATCCTGGGAATACACTAGATTGAATCTTTACTGCAGCTGTGATGAGTGGACACGGACTGCAGATTGTAACTTGACAAAGACAACATACTGTGAATGAAAGAAATGGAGGTAAATTCACCATCATGGCTGTTGCACAGCAATAAAAGTATTTCAGATAAACTTTCCATGCCAAACTGTCCCACAATCTTTTACACCTAATCAACCAGCAGATTTAAGGAGAGCAATTTTGAGTGTGCAGCCCAGCAGAACTAATTGCCAGAGAAATACGTTTATGTTTTGTTTATGAATAAACCTGCTCACATTATCTACATTGACCAGGAACAACCTGCCTACAGACCTGACCGTGTATGCCAGCTATATTGACTTCACCAAGAAATATTTATGAGAAAAGTGACCGGGATTTTCAAGTGACTGATGGTTCTTCCTTCTGCCCCAAAACATCTCAACAGCAGCTTACATATCAATATAAGAAAAGATCAACTAAAATTAAGGAGCAGTAATTGATACACTATGCATTAATGCACAATACTGAAGAATTTCTGGTCCCCTTGCGATGTGGGGCAATGAATATTTCCTTATGTGCTGCAACGCTGAAAACGTCAAATTTCTAAATGAAGCAACTCAGCAGTGATCAAAATCGAATTTCTGGCCTGTGGAATGTAATTATGTCAAAGTTCTGAAGAAAAAGAGTCATATTGAACTCTAAATGTTTCTCTTTTCACAGGTGCTGAGATTTTCTTCAGAATTCATCTATGGTCAATCTACAACATTGGTGTCTAGTAGTTAAAACATTGCAGCAGTCTCAGTCAGGCATGCAAAGTGAATTGAATGGAATAACATGTCAATCATTCCCATTTAGATGAAATCAGTATGAATATAACGATCATATATATTATTACAGTTGCAACTTTTCTTATAATTTCTGCACATTACAGCTTTATGGTGTAAATTATCAGAATTTCATTGACAAAAAGTTAAGGGACTTGTGAATATGAAAACTATTAACACTGCAAAACTTATTCTGACTTTTCAGCTGTGGGAATTGAGGAAGTCAATGAAACCACTGTTATATCAACTGTCTCCTCATCTGTCCAGCTGTATGTGAGTTGATGGTCCTCTTATAATTCTGCATCTCCAATATCCTTTTGCCTTTTCTCGTGGCCCTGCATTGCCCAACTCTAATATTCCCACCAAGGTGCTGCTCATAAACCTTTTTCATCCACTGTATCTTTTGCACCGTCATGCATCCACCACCCCCTCACACTTCCCCCAAAATTCACTTACAGACTTTCATTCTTTGGCTGGTCCAATTCTTACATGACTGTAAATTTTCTGCTTCTTAAGGCTAATGGCTTGAAATCACAGGCTTTGATTACACCATTTATACCATTGTAAACTTTACTTGTGCCAGGGGCAGAGAAACAGGAAATATACTGCACTACTAGTAAGTTGATCTGCATAAACAATTTTTAAATAAATACACATTTCCATATACATTACCAGGATGTTGCCTGGTATGGAGGGAAGGTCTTATGAGGAAAGGCTGAGGGTCTTGAGGCTGTTTTCGTTAGAGAGAAGAAGGTTAAGAGGTGACTTGATAGAGACATACAAGATGATCAGAGGGTTAGATAGGGTGGACAGTGGGAGCCTTTTTCCTCGGATGGTGATGGCTAGCACGAGGGGACATAGCTTTAAATTGAGGGGTGATAGATATAGGACAGATGTCAGAGGTAGGTTCTTTACTCAGAGAGTAGTAAGGGCATGGAATGCCCTGCCTGCAAAAATAGTAGACTCGCCCACTTAAAGGGCATTTAAATGGTCTTTGGATAAACATATGGATGATAATGGAATAGTTTAGGTTAGATGGGCTTCAGATTGGTTTCACAGGTCGGCGCAACATCGAGGGCCGAAGGGCCTGTACTGTGCTGTAATGTTCTATGTTCTATGTTCTATGTTCTATAAACAAAAGTTGCCTCTCATAATGTTCAGAAGTCCAATATTTGTGCATTTTCCAAGTTTTCATACACATATAAAACTTCCATAGGTCTCAAAAATGCTTAGGAGTAGATTTTCAAATGGGCTGTTCAACAGCAATAACCACAATCGTGTCCTATACACTGTACAGTCAACAAAGGAACCATGATCACATGCGCTCCAGTTCTCATCCACTCCAGTTCTCATACATTGTATGTGATTGTTCCTTGTGAAGTTATAACCAGTATTTTGTTTAAAAATGTAAATAAATTGCAGTCTACCCTGCAATGAACAGTTTGACAATGCATTGTGGAGCTCATTTCAAAGTCCTTTGGAAGAAAATAAACACCCAAGTTTTACAGGTTGAGGAGATGCACACTATTTTGGGTGGGATGTGTTACTGGTTGGAATGCATATTCGACCTGGACTCGGGTCCTCTAGAATGGCAAGCAACATATTTCCAAGTCTGTATATTTTCATACTTTGAAGTGTCTAATCCTTTGAGGAGAATTAATTTGTTTTGAAATATAGAAAATGTTGGAGAATACACTTATCGAGGGTCAAAAAGCAAAGTATTATCTCTCTTGCCTTGTCAGTGATTTTTAAATACACCATTAAGGCAAATAGCGATTCTGTGTGACTCAGCTTGTCTGTCCTACAATAGAAGTAGTGAAAGATTAGGTATAAAACAGTGCAACTCAAGTTAAACCCAGGCTGTGTCCCACTGGAACTTCAGTCTAAACTTCCTCTTTTAGCTTTGCCAGGCCCATATTTAGGGGCAGGGGCTGCTTCATGTTTTAAGCACTGTGCCTTTTTTTTGCTGAAACTATCTCCTACCTTTTGCTAGACTTTTAAAACTGACAGCCCTGATACCGAAGGTCCCGCTGGCTAGAGTGATCGGAGGGGCATGAGACCTTACAGAATTTTGGATTACAACTTCAACAAGTACTGGGTTTGTCAAATGCAACCCTGCAGCATACCATGTTACGTGAGTTTTAAAGTGAATCACAATCTTTCATAAAACAACTGAAAGTAACTGTCAGTATAGATCACCAAACTGCCTGTAATAATGCACTGAAAATGTTCCGTTCGTTAACACCACATTGAATTTAGCTCGGTTTGAATAAGGACAACTTGGCGAAACTAGACACTTCAGTTTTCAGCAAAGGTTAAAAAGGTATCAAATTTACATTGGAAAGAATACAAATTGTTAATTTTAGTTTCTTGTACATGAAATTATAGCCACTATTTCTTCATCTTCAGCAAATCTCCAATCATCAATTTAATTTAATTTTAAATAATCCTATCGACCAAACTAACAAAGAAGGCAATGCAATGCAATAGAAAGCTTGGTTGTGGCCTTACTATATCAGAAAAAAGACAGCTGTTGTGTTCATGCAATGTCTGTATGCTGTTGTCTTGAATGATTTGTATTCTTTCGGATGATCATTTGTCGTAAAGCACTCAGGTGGTAAAGCAATCAAGCGTAACAATCCGTAGGATAACAAAAATGAATGATGGATAGTTTGTGGTCGTAACCAGGACTCCGTGTGGCTCACAGAAGCTACCTAGCTCTTCAGTATTGATTTTAGAAATCTTTATTGACAATCACAAGGAAGGATAACTCGGAATCAAATTCGAGGAGCCTCTTTCTGTTTTTTTTACATTGTTTGTACCTTTTGTCCTTAGTATTTAGTATGGGGTCCCTTAAAATAGTACAACTGTATTATTACCAGAGTGCTACAATGTCAGCACGAGTTTCTCTTCGATATACTTTTG